TCAGTGTGACGTTAATATACGCCGTTACAAATGGCGCCTTTGACAGGCGTTCCATAATTTTGACACAATCACATAAAATCATTTTACCCCTGTGGGATAGGCAGAGCGTAAAGACTTTTTAATGGCAAGTCGAACAAATATTCAATGAACATTGTAACAAAATCGCATTGATGTCGTCGTCACGTTCGTTGACACGACGTCAACCCATTGATTTAAATCCTTATAGATACACATGGTGCTCACAAGGACATAGTATAAATGAAATAACATTTATCAGTCAAGTATTTGTGTAGCAAGTCAAACTATTTTCCTTCTTGCTCATAGTTAGGGTTGAATACCGTCTGACTGTGCAGAGCCCTGTCTGGTCAAATACGACATGTCTGGCCTGACCGAACTTTTAGCTAGGCCACGCACTTGAGGAAACATTCTCAAAGAAATGGACAACCCACAAATTCACGGATATGTTGAGTGCAATCGCAAATTTCAGTGCGTGCAGTGCAATCAATTTCTATACTACTCGCTCGTGTTTATATTTCTATGCATGCCGTCGTTCAATCTCGTAAAAGAAATATTTTGCAAGCACACATGCTAAAATAACATGCGGGCAGCGTACTTTTGTACCAGCCTTCAAGTGTGTTGAGATCTAATACCTACACACTTACATACATACATATATCACGCCTATATCCCTTGCAGAAGTAGGCAGAGCGCAAGGCTGTAAAAACGGTCATTTACACCATATCTGACTAAGGTTTGAGGGTAATTCAGAAGTCTGTATATCAACATAGTGACAGGTTGTCAGCCGGTTGCATAAAACTGCAAGTTAATGAGATTTCGGTTTCAGTTGGTTTCGACACGATGTAAGCCCGGCTTTTCTACGTATATACTGCTACAGCTTGGCAACCCTATTCACGAACAGATTTACATGAAAAACACTAGTCGATATGTGAAGATTTAATTTCATCCATACGTATATGAAACATCGAACTGTATTCCAACAGGAGTCTTTACGTATAAAATCTATCTACCCTCAATAACATTTATGAATGTAAATAATCATGGAATATGTGTACTCACGTTATTTAGTAATACAGCGTTGTTAAAAGTTGTACAATGTCACGTACATTGTACAATTGTGTAAGAAATATCGTTGATGTTAATTTTATGGTTTGCTGTTTGTTATACGGAAGGAAATCACAATAAAGAAAGGCGCCAAATCGGTCAAATCCAAGTACGTCTAATGTCTAACTGAAGTAAATTGCATAATATAAGTAATAGTAAGTAATGCATGGTTACAAATAAGTGCGCGATCAACGCGTTTATATCATGGTATAATAAGATACTCCGCCTGGTATTTCTTTCCGAGACTCGTGAACCACGTGACCAACACAAGACAACGTCATCATGCTTGTGGGTTACCAGAATTACCCACTCTTATGATGTTTTTTGTAAATCATATAAGATACTGTTAACTAATAAATAAAATTTAAGTGTTGCTGTAAAGTTAAAGTTAATACACACGTAAATCGAAATTATAAAATTATTAAGAAATGGGGAGTCCCGTGGGTATATAAGATTGTCGCAAAACACTAAAAAGCGCCAGTCGCCACTTTACGAAAATAGATGGAGCTACTGCTGCAATAAATACGTTTAATTTTACTGTGCAGAAAATACTGATTATCTTTTAACTATAAGTAGTTTTGCGACAAATTTACGTGTGCCTTCATCATTCAGAATAAAGTTTCTTTAAAAAGAAACTCTACAGCTCATGTGTAACCCGACTGAAGTGCAGTTTTTCGTTTGTATGACGTAACGAACCACCTTAACGTATTTTATTGAAATAAAGTGGCAATACTAAGTGACGTTGACTTGTGTTTCTCTGGGAAGGAAAGACCATGTTTTATTAGACTATGGTTTATATGAATCGCACGAATACAGAGTCTTATTATAAAGGACCTTACAATAATGTCGAGCTAACTAGTACATACACTAAAGAATGCTGCAAATGCTGAATTCCTTAGAAATGCTTAATTCTTTAGATAAAGGATCAATATCAATACGAATATAGTTGACGTTTAAAATCAAAATCTGTCTCTGGTGATTTATTAATCCGACTCAGGTTCTTGTCGATACTTTCAACCTTTTTCGTTGCAAGAAGAATGCAGAATCATGTTCATAATGACGATGACCTAAAGTGGAAATGAGATAAGATTTAATAAATGTATCAACTCCAAATCTCAGCTTATGCATTAAGTATAAGCGTGTGAAATAAAACTTCTAGGTGCATATACTTTATTTTCTTACGCGTGTATTATGCGTAATTCTGCTGAAATCTCATTATCCTCCGCCTAAATTTTGGTATCTTGTCATAAGCAACAAAATAAAAGTTTGCCATACTTCAAATATGACACGTAACGACTATTATGTTATGATATGAACGACTAATGACCGTAATTGTGGCATCTAGTGTCTAGCTGATATATTCCTGTACTTTATCCTGATTATACCATACTTCACTAGACCAGAGTAAGTGGTTACACTAAAGGGCAAATCCTTCAAATTGCTATCATGATAAGATAAAATAGATACTGTTTTTCAGTCATGCCTTCACCAACCCCCATGGGGTTCAGGAGTGACTTCAATAGCATATGTTTCAAGGTAGGGTAGAGTGCTCTTACTCGAAGCATGCACGAGTGCACTCCAAGTGCACTACCCTATGACATCCTACTTGTTTTCTTCATAATTATAACTTAATACTTTCAAGTGAAACCTTGCTAAAAGCAACTATCTTTAAAAATATCAATTCTCACTAATATTTACAATTGTGTAGCTGTTGTAAGAACTTAATGAACAAGGTTGCATAAAGTATCTTAATGATAAAACAAATGTGTACTTTCCTATACACTATATCAATTGCTGTTTCAAATTTTATATATTGTAATAGTATTACATATCTTTCTATCCTATAATAAATAAAAGTACATTCATGAAATATAAAATATTTATATTACTTATTTAAAGCTGATAATTTTTCCTCTTTCTCTTAATAAAATAGGTCATTTTATTATTTTTGTCTTTCACATTGGTGATTGCTCCACCAGGCGATAACAAACAGGTCTCATGTTTTGTTTTATGTTTCGAATAGCGGTACAGTTGTTTAATGACAGCGTTTTACCTATAAATAAAACGCTTATTAAATAACTTACCCTATTCGAAACATAAAAGTTTCTCAACTGCCTGGTGATTAATTAAAAGAAAATGTATGCAAACATACATTTCTTTTTATAAACATGAGATCCAATGAAGGCAAGAGCTGCGCGCCTGCCTCGTGTCGCAATCGGAGGATGCGAGAAAGAGATGTCACATGCTACCAAGGGACATATATAGCCGCTACCGACCGTCTCCTAAAGGGAACCGCAACCGCCTCTCTCATTTTTTTTTTTATGTTTCGAATTGGTTAAGTTATTTAATAAGCGTTTTATTTATAGGTAAAACGCTGTCATTATTGTTGACATCTTGCTCAAATGCCATGTAATATAAACAGACGCAAACAATAATGTTGCCATTTCGGGTTCTTTTCTTCTTATACCTTCATTTTAATTTTTCTACACAGCTTATTTTGTCCAACAGCTGATCCTAATCCTAGGCAACTCGTGGCCCGAAGCGGGGCGCCTACTCAACGCGTGCGTGGCCTGCGCCGCGCGCGCACTCGCCGCAGACCCGGGCGCCGCGTCAGACCTTGCTGAGGGGCTATTTACATTACTACACGCTATTACGAAGAAACGACCGCAGTACTGTGATTGGTTGGATGATCAACTACCTACATTGGTTGAATTAGGTAAGTTTTGCTACATTTAAAATGTGTAATAGCTGGATTTCTCAACAACATAGTTAAAATGGAACCAGGCGCCGCGTCATACCTCGCTGAGGGGTTATTTACATTATTACACACTATTACGAAGAAACGGCCGCAGTATTGTGATTGGTTAGATGATCCAGCTACCCACACTTGTTGAATTAGGTAATATTTTGAATTGTAATATTTAATAGTTCCTATACAATAGTGGCTAAAGCAACCCGAGGGCCGCGTCAGACCTCGCCGAGGGACTGTTTACATTACTACACGCTATAACGAAGAAACGACCGCAGTACTGTGATTGGTTGGATGATCAGCTACCCACGCTTGTTGAACTAGGTAAGATTGTTCTACACTTACAAATGGCGATGAGACTACTATATAGTAGTGGCTAAAAGTGACTCAGGGCCGCGTCAGACCTCGCCGAGGGACTATTTACATTATTACACGCTATTACGAAGAAACGACCACAATACTGTGATTGGTTGGATGATCAGCTTCCCACACTTGTTGAATTATGTAAGTCTTGATTCATTTAAAACGCATTATAGCTGTACTTCTCTACAGTATAGTTAAAATGGACCCTGGGGGCCGCGTTAGATCTTGCTGAGAGACTGTTTACACGCTACACGCTATTACGAAGAAACGACCACAATACTGTGATTGATTGGATGATCTACGTTGGTTGAACTAGGTGAGTTTTGCTACATTTGAAATGTATTATAACTGTATTCGAACGTCATTCGGAGGTCTCTCTTGCATACACAGTCTCTTGTATACACAGTCATTGAAGATATTTGATTTATACTATAAAAGATTACATCTACCTAGTCTTTGTCTGTCGTATTGGTGGAATACCGAGTCGACTATAGTCCGACAAGTTCGTGCGCGTCCTTCCTGCGGGGTACAGACGGTTGGGAGGCGAGGAAACACGTCATTTTAATATGACGTGCGGCGCGGATGCGCGCGTCAACCTTCCCCGCTACACCTCATCGCTACGACATCCCTCCCCCCAACGTCTGTCACCCCTAAGGAGGGTCGCGCACGAACTTGTCGGACTATAATGGCCTGATAATCTCTAGTGTAAGGGGTTCTGAAACTCAGTATTGCCATAAATGAAAATAATATATTGAAAAAATTGCCATGCATCGACCGGGGCTCGAACCTGAGCCGCATGGGTCAACGCCCCACCAATCTGCCACTGATCTATTGATGCACTGGTAGATGCCTGCCAAATTTTTCAATCTCTTGTAAGGATTTTTAGTGCACTCACAGTGCTACTGCTCTTAAAGTTAAAAATGAGAAATTGAAAAATTATTAAGCGTCAAGAGGTTGAGAAATTCATCAGGGTCCGCTGGGCGCCCGTTGCTCAGTTGGCAGAGCGGTGGGACAGTACCCCACGGTCCCGGGATGAAGTCCCGACGGTCGCTAATGATGTTTCAATTTTCTCATATTCAATTTATGATCTAAATCGATCTAATACGATTTTCATTGTCAATAAATATTTTGTGTATTTAATTCAGGTTGCGAATGCGTCCGGCTATGGGAAGCGGGAGCGGCGCGCGCGGCGTGCGCGTGGTTGTCCGCGTTGTGTGCGCAGCGACCCTTAGCGTTACAACCCAGCGCGCCTGCACTTACCGCTGCAGCGTTGCGATGTATAGGTAAAATTCTTTCGGTATCGATACATAGTATAAAATAAAGTTGCATTTTGCGTTTCTCTGTCTGTTTTTCTTGGAATTCGGTTACCCCTCCTAACCTACGCAACAGATTTTGATATGGTTTTTTGTGATAGATATGGTGATTCAAGAGGAAGGTTTATATGTAAAACACGTGCCGGGAAAATTGCGCAAGAGGCCCAGTGATGCGTGACAAAATGGTCGCGAAAAGTGAATACGTGTCTTTAAACGGTGTTTTCTTTTTGCCACTGAAAACGTCATCCATCAATCTCTCTTTCTATTTTTTCGTGTGGTACACCGAGTCGTCCAACCACACGATGTACACTAGTGTTACGAGTTTTACAACCGCTTACTACTGCTAGTACGCTTCTGACATAGTTGTGTAACGACCTCCATCTAAAATCATAGAAGCAACCGGGACCGATGCCCTCTGAATGACTGACATTTTCTCTGAACAGGAGGCGCAACACCTCGAAATCAAATAGAGCCGCTAGCGGAGCTTCTGCTGGCACTGAACCGAGCGTCATGGCGGCAAGACGCGGCCGCGGGCGCGGGTGCGGGGGGAGTAGGCCTGGCGCTGTGGTTGCGACAGGCACTGGAGCCCCGCGGCTTCCCCACCGTCCACGCTACCGAGCCCACCAAGCACAAGTTCATAGCCGCCGTCAGCAAGTAAGTACAGTTGGGCCTGTTTAAACAAAGCGATTTGAAAGCTTGTCAATCGAACTTCAGATAAACACAACCGCAGCTGTATAATTGTAAACCAATAAGTTCATCTCTGAAATGGGTAACTTAATATGCTGACGTTTTAATCGATTTTAATTATCTACTCATTTCTTCGGGACGGAAGATGCTCGAAGACTCATTTTGTCCACGCAATATTTTGATTCCCTCGAGTTTGTGCTATAATAATTTTCCTAAGAAACTTTTTCTGACCTACCATTTCATACTATTTCCGCTTCATCATGGCATAATATTCGTGTATCTACGAGTAACAATTGTAACTCTTAGCTCTTGTTACAGAGAGAAAAGCAGTAAACGGCGAATACTGGAAACAGTTCAGGAGTTTTCTCTAGTATGCCGAGGGCTTATCGGCACCGAGTATGCGCGGCAGACGCTCGCCTCCAAACAACTAGTCGCTTAGCCATCCTAAAGCCGAGTCATCAGTCGGTCAGCCAAAACTGAAAACATTGATTGCGGCTTGGTCATTCATATTTCTATAGTAACGCCGCAATGTATATCGAAGTTTGGTGTTTTGATTTGTCGGGTGCTTTGAAAACATGTTCTAAAACAGGATGAGGATTAACGCCTTTTAGGCGACATCTTACGTGGCGAAGACTTTAGACACCAACAAAACTCTGACGCGACTCAAGACACACCACGTTTCTAGTTAAAAGGCTATTCAGCGATTCCTTTTTTCCGCCTTTTCATACAAACTTATTCCCCTGTGTTCTTCCCGAATAATGCATGTAAAGCTATGATTCTTTTTTAATTACATCTGTTGGCCTATTATGGCAGGCCCCGATTTTTTTCTTTTTTCTGGATTTGATTACTGGAAGAAAATAATGAGCATTAATAATTTTGTATGGGAATAGAAAATTACTCATATTTTCGTTCATTATTTATAGAAAATAGGGACGAGCCTTTAATGAAATAAAAAAGAATTATAGCTCTACATGCATTATTCGAGAAGAAAATAAGGGAATACGTTTGTATCAATAAACACCGCTCGGGAATCGTTTTAACATCATAAAATACATACAAACAGTCACTATATACTACACTTTCACACCGTTTTCTCCTTCGGATAGACAGTTGCGAAAATAGCTGAAAAAGTTCATCGATTAGTGACAGAGTTAGCCCTTCGCCTAAAACACACGCCTTATCCCTTTGTACAAAATACGAGAAATACAACTTGGAAAATTCGCAAGTTGCAAAATTGGCAAATTGGCGAAATGTCATCGAGGCAAAATGACACAATGACTGAACATGACAGTCGCGTAAAGTCCAGTCGAATAAAGTCTTTCATATTTTATCCTTTCATTTTATTGTACACTACATAAAAAACAATGTTTTCAAAAACCACGCCTTCTAGTGATTTAGATGATACAGTTTGCGTAGATAAAAATGGACCCGAATTGGCAACATTGCTGCTTGCCTTTCTGTCATTAACTCACTAGGCAGGCTGTCAACAATAATGATGCCAATTTGGGTCCATTCTGCATTTGCGCAAGTTATAAGAATTAGTATTACAGGTTTCAAGCCTAATTGTGATGAAACTAATTTTAAGCCGTTGAAATAGAACACAAATTAGTATTGAAAAATATTTCAGTAAATGTTTAAATTTGTTTAAAAATACCTGCAGTGTATTTTGTTGAATGTTGATCTACATTCGTAGATTTTGAAGTATAAAAATACCGACAACTAAAAATAACGAATTGGTCCGCTAGTTTTTTAAGAAACTAAAATCTTCTTCTTCTTTGCGAGTCGAAGACGAAACTAAATTTCCTTTGACCAATATGTAGCCACATTAACTGCGTTTGGAGTGGCCGCCCACAGATCTTCAAGCGTGCAGGTGGCGGGGCACGCTGGGCATACCAAAAGATGGGACATGCTCTGTGGTACGGAGCCGCACTGGCACTGCTCAGAGTCGCTGTAGCCCCACCGACAAAGATTCTCCTTGCAACGACCAACCTGAGTACGAAGTCGGTTTAGAGATTTCCAAACCGACCACTGGAGGTCGCTGCCTGGGAAGAACTTCTTGTCGGGACGAACGAGGGCTCCAGCGTTGCGGCATCCTTCCATAGGCATGTTCTGGCTTGCGAGGATCGTCCGATATAGACACCACTGAGGAAAGAAAGCTCTTACGGCTTCTCAGTCTCTGTGGTGCCGGGTTATCGCCAAACATAGGTGTCTCGAGTCGGCCTCCTGATTTGCTTTCTCAATAGAGCTTGCCACATCCCTCCTGATGTTCGGAGGTGCAATTCCCGCTAGTGGGTACAGCTTACTTATCGGCGTCGGTTTTAGGCAACCAGTTATAGTCCGACAAGTGTCATTGAGAGCTGTATCCACTAGTTTGGTATGGGACGAACGATTCCAAACTGGGCTAGCGTATTCTCCGGCGGAGAAACACAGTGCCAGTCCAGTAGTTCTTAGTACCTGTGGCGAAGCTCCCCACTTCGTTGATGTAAGCTTTTTCAGGAGATTGTTTCGACTATTCACCTTTCTTTTGACGTTTTCGCAGTTGGTTTTATACGTTAAAGCCCGATCCAGTGTCACACCAAGGTATTTTGGGTAGCGGCAGTGCAAGATCGGAACTCCTGCCAAGAGATATTGAGTTCTCGTGCCGCTTCTCTGTTGCGGAGATGAAAGACGCAAGACTGAGTTTTGGCTGGATTGGGCTTCAACGCATTCGATTCATAATATTGACCCAGAGTGTGCAGCGCCGCTGTGATATTATGTTCGGCTTCCTCAAAAGTGACTGTTTGCGAGGCTAGCGCGAGATCGTCTGCGTAAATAAAACGCGATGTTCCTGGACTCAGAGGCTGGTCGTTTGTGTAGATATTGAACAAGGTTGGAGCCAAGACACTACCTTGTGGGAGACCGTTTCTTTGTGATCGCCATCTGCTCTTATCCGCCAGCAGGTGAACTTGGAAGCGGCGGTTGTGGAGAAGCTCGCTAAGGATCCCAACAAACTTCCGGTCGCCAGTCAACTCTCCTACCTTCCACAACAGCCTCCTTAAATTGACTGTATCATAAGCCGCTGACAAATCCACGAACACTACCCCGGTGACTTTGTTCATCTCAAACCCATCCTCAATGTGTTGTGTAAGCTTAAGCGTCTGGCTACAGCAAGACTTTCCGGGCCTGAAACCCGCTTGCTCAGAGATGAGAAACTAAAATATGGTGCCCCCTCTCCTAGTATAACCAATTAGAAAAGTGATGAATCACTATCATGTATGACTCATTGTAAATACTCATAATCGCTTGTGTAAATAACATTATAATTTATTTGATCATGTAGATTTGAGATAATAAACTATGGAATTATTTTTTGGTCTTTTTCTTTATATTCTAAAAATTTTATATAAATCTATTTTTAGGGATTCCTTCATAGATACTGAACCTACTACTCTTTGTACTACCCCTAAGCTTTAAATTAACACCCTGTATTGGGTAAGAGTGTAAACATAAATATTGTGATGACTGATGATGATTAAGTCTTGTGTCTTACTTTGGCGAGTAAAACAATAATAAATATTTACAGACATTTATTAAGAACAATATAGTAATAATAAATTATAATCTACAAGAGAACCTCTTACTCTAATAAAAGCAATATTTTCTTGTATCGGCCGTAAACACCAGAGAGAAAATAAACCTGGTTTTGATTGCCTAAACAGTTTATCTTTGCATTAGATATCTATAGACACAGAATACGACACTTATTTGAAATCTTTAATTATTTTAAATGTTAGGAGACACAAAATCTCTCTTACTGTCGCTAAATACTTCAAATTTATTGTGAGTATAGTTTACCGAA